AATCTACTAGTTTTAGTAGTTTAAATAGTTAAATATACCCCCTATATTTAACTTAATTAGTTAGGCAGCAGCGCTAGTTAGAAGATAATTATAGGGTCGGAATATATCTGAATTTAGGCTCTCCGTAGCTTATATATATTCGTTCTCTCGTAGCCCTTAGCCCCTGGTCGACCCCCTGCTTAGCGGCTCCTAGTGGCTCCGCAAGGTCGCCTGACATCACCCTACAGCACCAGTTACCTCATACCTTTGTGGATCGAGGCCGTCCGATGGTAGTATTTATTTGGGTATTATGCTCAACTGATCACTATGTAAACAACCCCGTATCTACATAGCTACTTTGGGATCATCAAATGATGGTGCACTTATCCCATAAGTAGCTCGAAAATCTCTTGGCGAACAAGGCGCGGGCACACTCTTGCCTCTCGACGCCTCTGCGCCACAAAACGAGGGAAGTATTTCGTCAGCAAACATAGATAGCGTGATATTCCAATCGCTACCGTTTGAGAAATGATTTGTGTAATAATACTGAAAGAAAGCCTTTTCTCAATGATCCCGTGCCCACGTGTAATGATACCTAAACGAGCACCGAGAAATGATTGACTGAGGTGTCTCCGCTCATATTGCGACGCGTGAAAATCCTCCCGTCATTAGGGACATCTCTTCGTCAGCTCTCCCGTCCGAATCATGAACAGCGGAAACATGTGGGGAACAAATAGGACATTGAGTCTCGTGACTCGGGTCACAATAGGGCAAAAATGATATAAGTAGTGACAACCCAAACTTAGTCACGAACGCGATGGATCGTCCATATTCTAGTTGGTATAGTAGTCTCGTAACGAGCGGAGGACAAGCGGCTGTTGGCCTTTCTTTTTATCTATAGATCGACAGAATAGTCGATGCCCCCTCTACACATGGTCCACCCGCCCTCCTTCTACTTATTCCTCTGACAGTCGGTCCGTTTCCCAAAATCTTATGGCCAAGAACCATCAGCCACCATACCGGCCTCCTGGCCTCATCTCGAACTTGATACCGAGGCCGTGGAATGAGAGATGAGCGACGTGATCGCCGAATATTAAGCTTGACCAGGGCCTGGTTTTTTAAAACATTGTGTTCTTGTTTGCGCGAGTTTCGGGCCATTGAATCATTGCATCCCAATGTTCGACCAATCGGTTGTTCTTGATGCGATAGATATCGATAAACCTCCATTCGTGACCCCCCATTTCGTACCGCGAATGAAGAATGACAGTATCGTCCTCCGCAACAATGTGCTTGAACTCAATCTTCTGCTTCTTGACGCCTTGTGAAATAAGCTTCTGAATTAGCTCCTTCACTCCAGACGGACCATCAGCAATCGTCGGATTGTGTTGAATGAAATCGTGGCTCATGTAGTCATCCACTGCTGCGACATCTAAATCACCGAAAATTCGCTGGTAGGCGTCGGTGACGAGCTTCTTGTAGTCCAAAGTCATGGTGTAGGTAGTATAACGTCTGAGAGGGCGTGGTAAGGGACAGTTGCAGCGCGACCTGACTTCTTCTCACTTGTTCTTTATATAATCTGGCAGGCAGTGCTATTGGCATGCGTCATGCATGCGAGCGCCCTCATTAGCGCAGAACCTAGCAGACCTGTCCGTCGGGAAAAGAAGTAGTTCTGGGCAAGTAAAATGGAGCTACTGCGGGGAGTGGCTGTGTTCGTTGCCATGCTCTAAAGACTTGGGCGTCAAACAGCCAGTAGCGCAATTTCATTTAAATTGTGGCTCTCGTTCTAACTCGTGCTGTAAACCCTGGTCCCTGATCAAGAGGTGTGTCCTCAAGATCATTACAGGATGGAAAGACGGAGTCGACGTAGAAAGTGTTGGTGGTGGCATTCACCTGGTGCCAGGCGGCCATTGCCCTAGTGCCTCCTATGGCTTAGTCCTAGGCACCCTCCTGCCCTGTAGAATAGCTTCTCAATATATACCTTAAGGTACCTTCTTCTGCCCTTGACCTCCTCTAATAGAAAGAAGTACGTAAGCGTGCTTGCCTTTGCCTCGCCATTTGGTGCGCATGGAGAGACTCTCTAGGCCCGATCCTTTTTTGGGGCTCGGCCAATTCCCAGGCTTTGGAGATCTCGTCACGTGCCCAGGCGATTTCGGACCATCAATGACGAACGTGTCTCAGCAACACCGATCCTTAAGCTTGGGGTAACAAGTGTTGCCGAGGTGCCCTTTTTTTTAGAGTTTGGAAGTTGGAGGAGTTAGCTTACATCAGCAACTCCACGGCGCTCATGTAGGAATGACATTGTGGCGGCCTGGTAGTCAAGACATTTCGCAGGTGATTGGGGTTTGTAAGGAAACGCATGGCGCTTATTGACGCTCTGTTGTCCGGAATCGGTACAGTTGATGAGTTACTTCGCCCTATCAAGTCATTATACCCGCCAAGCCGCTGAACAACTTGAAAATCTATGACACGCATCAGGCTTCAAGGCTGGTTCCGGGATCTCTCAACTGCAATACAGTTTAAAACGTGAACCATTCGATTGTCCCTGGGCACTAGGTTGCCGACGGAAAAGAAAGCCAGCACTGATAACTAAGCGGCGGCCGTCGGGGACGTGCTGAGGATGCGAAGGCCGCTGCTCCAATGGCGTCAATTCTTGGCAACGCGCTCGCCTCGGTCTGTATTTGGAGCAGCATCACAAACAAGGTTACAACAGCGACCAATCTATCGACGAGACCCACCATTTGAATATGTAAAGAAAAGAACTGTAAATATATATAAGTACTGCCATACATAGCATGTTTCGATGTTCAGACCCATTATTTGGATACTTGACTTACTGCAACTCAATGAGCTCGCCTACATTGAAATTTTACGCCATGACCCGAATTCGGTACGCCTTGGCTTTCATCATCGTAGCCGTCGTGTGTGCTGAAGCGGCTGGCCGTGACGGCAACATGACAACTGCAGAAAGTCTTCTTCATTCGTCTATACAGGCACTCGGAGGTTTCAATGCCCTTGCAAGCATCAAGGATGTTACATACCGCGGCGGACTGTGAGTCAAATTCTTGTACCAGTGAGGTCTAAAGACTGACAGAACGACTCAGAATTTACCGTGCGAAGTCGATGGCCGATACCTTCACCTTGACAGGTGTTGAGACCTCAGTAGCCCCGGTTGGTTCGCAAAATATCACTTTCATGTTCGATGAACCGATCATCAAACAACGAATTAAAAGATTCCATCAACTGGGCCGTACGATTCCTCTGCACAAAAGTCATCCTCAACTCAGCTAACAAACAATTAGCTTATTGGACTTGGGCACGACCGGCACTCGAGCCTGTTGATTATACTATGGATGTCATCGGAGGCGACAACGGGTATGCTGCTGTCGTTGAAGGCAACTACCTTCTTTTCACTCCTGGAGCACCACCTTCGGGCTATGTTGATGGTGAATTGTGATATTCATATTGATATTTGCGGAGTTCAGCTAACTGAGCTTAGGACTCCTTGCTGCTTACTTAACCAATCAAGCTGAAAAGATGTCCCCTCTACTCCTGTTGACAGTAAGATCTCGCCAGCTTGCGCCTATTGGAATCTTCAGCTAAGCTCACAGATTCTATCCAATGGTAATTTCAGTCTTTCTACAGAGCTGATCGGGTCAGGAGTCGAAATGACGTCTAGTGAGTCGTCAAAGTCTTTGTTTGACCACTCGAAACTCACCCCTTTAGTCTATGATCACTCTCTAGATGTGTCGGTCATTTTGGACCCAAGTACAAAACTTCCATACATCATCCGTTCTTATGAGAACCATGGCATGTTTGGAAGATCAACTCGCGACCTGATGCTTCAAGATTACATCGACGTCAGTGGTGTTTACTTTCCGAGGCGATTCAAAGGTATATATAACGAGTACCGAGTGTACGAAGATTACTCTGTGGCAGAAATCATGACGAACACAAAAGTATCCTTACCGCAGCTTCAGACTCCGCGCGAGCCGCATCAGTTGCCAATGCGCGACAACTCCTACGACTGGTCCGAGATTTCCGAGCTCTACGGAATTCACGTATGGGCCGGTGCCTACCGCGGAACATTGAAGAACCTCACTGCAATTAACCCATATCCCGACCTGCCAGGTGTCTGGCTGTTGATCTTTGAAGATGCCGAAGCGTACAGACAAGTTGTCTGGGAAATGGACACGTACGCGATAGTGCTCGACTGTCCGGCGCACCAAAGTCATTTGGTGATTCAATGGGTAGAAGAAGTACTCAAAAAGCCGGTTGGCTATGTTTGGGTACGTCATCAATCCGAAAATGAGGAAGCGAAGCATAAGCCTGACAAACACCCGGGGGAGCATAGCCTTCCCATCACCACCACGATCATGTCTCTGGAATCAACGACTACGCCAACGCTGGAGCCAAAGTCATTGTCTTGGACTTTGCCCGCGACTACTACACGCAAGTTCCAAATGATCAATTCATCACATATTCGTAAGCAATCTTCCAGAATATTTTAGTTCACTCGAGATATTAAATCAAAGCCAAGGACGGATAAGCCTTTCATTCTCTCCGACAGCCACATGCAGGTTACATTTGTGCACATGAAGCAGTCTGTCCACTGCATCGATTATAGTTACTCTTTGGCGTCACCCAAGTGTCCAACCAACGGCAGCACCTCGGTTATTTTCGACGCCGACGATGCCAATCCAACAAACGGCTTGCTTCCTAACGATCAGTCCCTCTTGTTTGGGGCCTTGGCAGATTATGTTAGAGATCGCGTTCCGCTTAATTCAATGTGAGTAAAACGCCATACTACATTTCGGCTCATTGACGTCTAATTATCATAAAGCTATGTATCTGGACACGGAGACAGGACTCCGTTTTCCGATTTAGTAGAAGCGGCCGGGTTTGCCTACCCTAACTATACAGCTTTAGATTATAAGTATGGCGCTGCTGCATGCTAAGAATATCTCAGTATTATTAGTCGCTTCAGCATACTGAATCTGTAAAGCAACTACTTATAAGGTTGAATCAACAAAAGGGGTATAATCAGAACTATTGTAATAGATACAAAGCTAAGAGTAAGTGAAATTCTGCTAGTAATGGTATTATACTTCTCAAGCAAGGCGATTTAGTATAATATGAGCTATATGATCAACAGCGCCGTCAGGCAATGCTTTAGAAGCAATAAGATACAACTATATAAGAGCCTAGTGGGAGACAACGACAACATGTGGGTGCTGCGTGCCAGAACATGCGGCTCGAGAGTGTCCGGTCAAGAACGACACGATCAGGCTGTAGCGCCCCTAGCTCAAACTGGGAACCTATGCATTTGTGGACGAGAGGTCGTTGCAGAGCAACCTTCGCTCCCAAGTCTCCTCGGCTTCGGGAATCGCGTACGTCCTCATCCAGTCCGATCGCAGCACTTCATCTGCGCTCAGACGATCATCAGGTCTAAAAACGAGCATGCCCCGTATCATCTTGAACAGAGCATCTCTTTCCGGATCATCCATCACCTCCAGTCCCCTTCTTCTTCTTGGCTCCTGGATCGCATCTTGAAATCGCTGATCAAAAGTCCACACCTCGCGTCCCTCCTTTGGCTTCCCATTATCGCTAAATAGTTTTGATTTCCGCTCCCACGTCTCCCACCACTCATCCGGCATCGATCCAAGGGCATCGACTTGATCCGCCGTGGCGTCATCTGGCCCAAATAGCCAGTTATCAAGGAATGGTCTCACTCCAAGGATCCCCCAAATGACACACCCGAGGCTCCAGACATCAGATGCATACGACAGGGGCGTTATCGGCTCGAATCTTGCTTCAGGTGGACGGATCTGGAGTGGCGTGTAGCACTCGAACCTTGATTCCTGTGCAGGGCAGAACGCCGTCCCAAAATCCGCGAGGACGAGCTTGGCTTCAGGGAGAGTGACTTCGTCGCCAGGTTTGCCGAGCCAGATCGGCGGATAGACCTGGGGCGGGACACCTGGTGGGAGTGGCTGTCCATCAACTCTGACGACAGGTTCAGTCTCTGGCGGATCAAAATCTCCGTATAGTTCCTCGACGGTAAGATGATCAAGACTTGGCATCTGGAGAAGGATGTTTCCCATATGAATATCTACCAAGAATTAGAGCTAGCCAGGAATGACTAGCAGGGCCAAGTACGTGTACTCACCTCCGTGAACATAACCCGAATGATGGACGTACGCGGGCGGCAAGTGATCTGGCGACTCGAAGCGGGAACGGGCCACAGCCTATCTCCAAGGCTTCAGCGAGATTGCATCTTGCCGGCGCAGTGACATAGCACGGGTGTGTTCCATTTGGCCCGTCGAGGTTGAAGCTATCCAATATCAAGGGGATGAAATTTTCGGGATCCTGTGCGTTTTCATCGGCGCGCGCGGACAGTTGGCTCAAAAGATCGATCTCCTTGGCGCTGTGGTCCGCCGTGGCCACTTTGAGCGCGACATACTTGGACAGTTGTTCGTCCCGAGTCAGCCAAAGGGTCGAGTAACTACCAGAACCGAGTTTGTGTACTGTAATATATCGGTCTCGAAACCTGTCACCAATCTCAATGGGATGGTATCCCCTTGGCCGATAGTATTCGAGTCTTTCGACGTCGTCGATGTGCTCATAGGGCGAGGTTGACGTTGTTGACATGGTCGATGAGAGGCTTCTGTTTTTGTAGCATGGAATCGCAAGGATTGATCGGGGGGTTTGAAGCCAGCCATCGCCTTGAGATTCTACAGAGGTTTGAATGAAGCATTCCAGCGCCCGGAAGAGGTTGGTCGATGTTTGGTTGCTGATGAGCGCGTGTGTTGAGGCGTTGGTTCAAGTCGCCTCCACTGGAGATGGTAGCCGCTGATGGTTGGGGCTGCAGGTCTAGTGGGCCCCCAACTGCCCAACTACAGGCACCTTTACCAACTGTTTCCATTGGACCCGCTTACTAAAATTGAACCATTCCGACGTTGTTGGAAGTAGATTCCCGCAAGTCACCAACAGCCATGCTTCGCACCACCACATGGATGGTCTTACTCAACAACTTGAAACGCATACGCGCTAAAGGAACAGTGTTTTCATGTGAGGAACTCTAATAACTGGACACGAATTCCTTTTCATGACAGTCAGCTTAGATTGGCGCGCGCGTCGGCAACCAAGGTCAACGTCCGACTATCACCATCGAAAATGGACCAAGCTAGCTTTGCCATAGGCATGAGAGTCAATCGAAGCCCTGAAAGAAACAGTTGAAGCGACGAAGACATATATAGAGGCCCTCAATGTCCGAATAAAAACTGTGTTCATGGATGAGACGAAGCATCGACTTTTCAATCCATGGCTGGGAATCGTCGACTGTCACAATGTCCACAATCAACATCGTTAAATGCTATTTCCACAAAGATCATATACCCGAGACTGCAGAGCGGATGCAACAGTTGTTAGTCTTGGCATAACAGACCGCAAGAGACAGCTATACCCACGGGCAACCTTCATCCGGTAGGCTCTCTCCACATGTTCCATGTTCCATTGGATGCCTAAAGAGCGAAGCATCATCCGAGTCAGATGCTGAGTGGTTGGACGACTCGCCCTCTGCAGCATTTGAATCCATAGGTCATCATCTGACCCGTCCCGACAATACAAACAATCATCAGGACACCTATAAAGGTGGCATCGAACCTCTCGGACAAACGAATCAATCCTCGTACCTCAACGTTCTACCCTCTTTCTCCCCGTGGCCTATCCTTGGAGCATTCGAGTGGCGAAGAACAAGCAGGTCTTGCACTGCTCAGATGAATCAAGATAGATGACGATGGAGTGTGAAAATACGTGCGTCGCGGACCAGCTTTCGGTCTCGACTGGAGGAGACCGACCTAGCAAGACCTTGAGGTCGTCCCGGCAGCGTCGGTGAATTGTCTGGCGATATCGACAGCGCTAGAAGAGTTTCAGGTAGAGGCTATCGAGGGATGCCCGCGTTGTTGCGTGCGCCGACTTCGACGACGAAGATCCGGACGAGTCATATGTGGTGTGGGATATTCTTGTCGTGGCTACGTTGCCGGAACGCTGTATGACGGACAACGCTTGGCGTTCGGTACTGCAGCGAGTGCAGCCGGTGCTCGGTGTTCTCGAGTGATTCATGGAGCTCGACTGGCCGTTTTGCCACTCTCTTTCGCGTTCGTCGATGGTTGGCGCGAGCGCGCGTGGGGGACCGAGGATCGTCCGCGGTCGTTCTCTGGCGCCTGGCACGATATCGAGGCGTGAGCACGTCGGTGGGACGATCACCTGAAAACCGAAAAGTCCCCCCATCATACTCCGAAAAGTCGGGGTGGGGAGCCGGAGGCGGCCTGGCTTCTCACCGGACCTCGTCTGCTCATGCCTACGGTGTTCACCCGGACTGCGGTCGGACTTGCATCCTCCCTGCGCGCCTCCTGCTCTTCTCCCGCTCCGGCGTTGGCACGCCTGCACTGCGTCGTCCCTCGGCCCATGGGGCCACCGGGCTCTCGTTACCTTCAGTCTGGTACACATAACTTGAACCAACATCGGGGCCATACTCGTGTCATTGTGTGGCAACCGAGGCACTATTGCGTGTAGGATATCTAGGGGCAGAACAGTAGCACTACGCGTTCGCATCGCATCATAGCAGCCTAGTTCCGGATTACAAGATTATAACGGTGCATAACCTAAGCTAGCTAAGTAAATCATTTAAGAGCAACCATCTACTAACAGTTATCGGCTTTCATATAGAGGAAGAACCATAATCGGATACATTATGCGTGGAAGGATCTCGCGATAGAATAGTGTCCGGGCCTTTAAGCAGATATTTTTCAATCTTTGTCCGAAATCTCGGCATGCTTTTCTTCAGTTCGTTTGTGTCTTGAGGATTCGTTCTTAGGTATTTGATGTTGCCTGGACTGAGATTCATTTCGTGACGGAGTCGTCCTCGGATAAGTTCTAGTTGATGTCGGTCGTCTTTGGGTGCTCGTACTTTGACTGTTTGCTTAGGAGAAGTGATCGTCTGTATCTTCGCGCGGATAAGCGGTGGGAGGGCGGATTTCTTGGATTGCCTATGAAGCTATGTTAGTCGAAGGAGGCAAACAGGAGTAAGCACCTACAATTGACTTCCTGTCCATTCGTACCACTGAACTGGGATCTCATCAGTGGTACGCGGACCATTATCAATAAGGAAGTAGCAACGGCGGTTATCGTAACCGAAAAGGGCACTAGAGGCGTACCATCGATCCTGTTGGGGGTCAAAGTCGCGGTTCCATACTTCCTGGCAGATCTTGTTTTTTCAATACGTTGCACTTCTGATTGTAGCTGCCGCCTGGGACCAGATGTGTTCTCGATCGGACAAGCACACGGGTGACTCTTGGCTCGATGGTCATTGTGGTGTAATATGATGAAGCAGGAGATCAAAGGTTGAAGAATTGAGGCACGGAAATGGACGAGGTGCCACGTGACTACTAGGTGGGTCCGACTCTTCTACAATGCACGACTCGGCTTATATAGTGTAAACGCCTTTAATGATTCGTTAGAAGTAATTGCGGGAGAGAACTTATGAGCGGATCAAGATTCGATAATACGTTTCGTAGTGGAGACGATGGTTCTGGATAAGCTGAAGGCCATTAACTGTATCTACGAAGCTGTGGCAACAGCTTGTCGAAGTTCACCTCACGACATGCGTCGCTCGCCACTGCGGAGTCTATCGCCCCGTGCGTTGATTACCCTCCCGGCGGGGCATACGGGCCACCTGGTTCTCCACCTCGGACTTCCGTCCTTCGCCGTTCTGGAGTCTAGTGCCTCCTGCTCATCTCCCGCTCCGGCGTTGGCACGCCTGCACTGCGTCGTCCCTCGGCCCCCTAGGCCACCGCACCCCCCGGGTCAAACCATCCCGGCGCCGCCGGGCCTCTAAACTTCCTTCTATGGTTTGACGGAAATACACCCAGCTCCCATCCTTTGCTCCCAATCGTCACATCGCCCCGCCGTGTCCTCAGTCTCGTGGTCTGCGTCGCCGTCGTAGTTTGTACACTGATCCGAGCCTTGTTCATTCGCTCCAGGATGTGCGTCACTCTAGTCAGCACAAGGATTGTAACACTTGAATGTTAAGTGAGAACATCCCCAGCGAAACTAAACTTCTTCGCATATAGAGGGTGGTGCGTCGTAATCTAGCCTGATAATACATTATATATTGGTCAATATATGTCAAAGGTCCTAGAATTTTAGTAGAAACGTATAATGCCGTAACGTTGGGAAAGAACTTTAAGTGATTCCTGTATTTGACGCCCATTATGGTGGATAGGAAGTCCGGCTTTCCCACTAGACTCAAATCCATGTCCTCTCCCTCGTATTTCGGACAGCGGCAGAATGCTTTTCCGAGATCGCTACTGGACTACATCAGGGCAAGACCCTTCTAATTGCGAACTAGACTAGCTTCTTATGCAGTACCAGATAGCACTGTGGTCGATCGAGGACGTAGACAGTTAATTCTCCAATCTCACAAAACGCGTCTCCGACATCGAGCACAGCTACGTTGCCCATATTCGACCTTCATACCGAAACAAAGCTAACGGAATTGCCGCCCACCGACGGCCGCCGAGAGCAATCGAGCGCCAGAAGCGAGGCGTTCCAGAACAATACTTACAGTATAACAACACAAACGCCGCGCACGTCGGGGCTGAAATGATGGCAAGAGGAGCCTTGGCTCCGTCGTTGCTTGCGGCATTGCTACATCCGGGTTCGTCCTGATAGCCTAGTGGTCACACCCATATGTTCTCTCGCGCTGGCCTTGACTCCTGGAAATTTTGGTAATACCTTTATTGGTCAGGCAAAATGACAGCGATGCCTACGGTTGACCAACTGCCGTCCTTTACGGACACCACCTTGTATTTGAAAACCAACCAACGACAATGTATCTGGTATCTACCAAACAAAAACAGATTGTGTATGGTCCCGATCATGCCCGATCGTAAACAATGAGCGATTCGGCAAGCGAAGAGTGTCCGGGACTCACGTCTCGCGGCGACATCAACTCTTGGACACTTGGCAGCGATTGCTGAGGATTGCTGTTGCGGTCACCACCACTATAATAAAATATGGGGAAGTGGTCTATCACTAAAGCTGGCCCACCGATGGCTAAATGAGATAAACGCTTTAGGTATTGCGACTCGAGAAGAAAATCCAAATGTTGAGACGGAGTACGCGACAACCTCAGTCACTGTAACATTTGCGAAGCATGAGGTTCTACAAGAAGAAACATTGCTCTCAAAACTGCAATCAGACGTTGAACCTCTGGCATGTAAAACTGGATCCTTATACTTTTACACCCATGCCGACGATGCCTTCAGCGGCATGATCAAGGTCGGATACACCGGCCGGACGATAGATTCTCGACTAGACGAATGGGCTGAATGCGGCAACGGCTTGCCAAAATTTCTCGGCCAGATCTTACGCGTGCGACACCCAGAACGCGTCGAGACGTTGATACACTTCGAGCTAGTGGAATGTCGGTATGCATAACGATGGTGCGAGTTTCATCGCAGGGCCTATATCGAGTGGTTCAAAACCGACTTGAAAAGAGTGCGCTCAGTTGTGCGTCTCTGGTCCCGGTGGATGCAGGACGCAAACCCATATGATAGGCGCGGTCGCCTCACTGAGGTCACGGTCAGGAACACGGGCGCCGTGCGTGGTGCAGAGGTCGTCCAGGTTTACATCGCCCCCAGCCAGCAGGCGCGCGTCAACCGCCCCATCAAGGAGCTCAAGGGCTTCACCGAGGTCGCCCTTGAGCCCGGCCAGAGCGAGCGCGTCACCGTCGAGGCGTTGACTAGATACGCCGCCGCCTATTGGGATGAGTCCCGCCACAAGTGGTGTGTCGAGGCTGGTGAATACAAGGTCATTGTGTCTGACAGCAGTACCGTCTCGGACAAAGCCGTCAGGGGGTCATTCAAGATCGACGAGACGTACTGGTGGATCGGCTTGTAGGTGTCTTTTACAGGCACAGTGAGGTTATAGTGTTACACTGGAAATAAAGAACCAGTGAATGCTCCGAAGCTTAAAGTCGTCGTCAATGGCTTGTGGTTTGGGTGCATTGATACTAATGTCTTGCTGCACCATCCAGCACTTGTTCTATTATCTCAGCTCTTGGCGATTTAATGGTGTTAAGATTACAAGTCTTTGGGAACTCCGTGATTTCAGGCTAGTTACAGAAATATAACAGCCGCCATTGAAAAGCAGTAAACACTTTTCAAACGGATGTTATATCGTTCCTAGCTGAGGGTATGGGGGCCAAACAATAGATTCCGGATCTTGTCCTACGATCCTGATGCGCGCTCAGCCCCTTGAACTTAGTACGGCCCGAGTTCATGGCCCAAAAGAAGAACTCTGGTCTCTGCCTCTGTGCATGCAATCATGGTGTATCCCGGCGGCAGCGGCTGAAGCTGCATCCTTGTCGTCTACAAGCATTCTTCACGTCGTGCCATTTGACTTTGAATTTTTCATCAGTTTGAATCCTTCTAGTTGCACAATAAGATGCGTTTGCTTGATTTGAAGAGAAGAGGTTGAACTCGTATAGCGGTCATGACGAGTGTTATGAGCCTGCGCATCGGTTATCCGAGATTAGTCCGCCAAAAGGCCTTCGGTGTCTTGCCCCAGTGACCCACTGCCGTTGCTTGTGAACCGCTCCAAGTACACACTCCGAGACCTGATTCCGTCCAACATTCAACACCCAATTTTATGACAACCGCCACGGTCTATCACCAGATCCCACTTGATCTTCTCTGATTATCTTTAAGAAGACATGCCGTACGTCATGTCGCCAACTCCAGAGCCCGGCTCACAGCCCCCGAGCTCATCTTTGGCCCTCGACAAGCCTGTGCCTAGACCACCCAAATCGGACGCCAGGACGAGGGAGATCCGCACGCAAAACCGACGAAGGCATTACCTTGAGGCACATCCAGAGTACCTAGAGAGCACAGAGCACGAGTTTGCAGGTATGTCTCCAGCTCTCCCACCACCATGGCTTTCTGTCCGCGGTGCTCCGTGTCCTCTGCCTTCTCTGCGATCCTGCTCGTCATGACTTCATCAGTATCCTGATTGTCGCTGCATCTCAGACCCAGTACTGTACGAAAAGCTCGTTCGTCAGTACCAAACGCCCGCGGAACGCGAGGCAGAGGGCAAACGCAAGGGATACTCCCGCGTCCTAGAAGGGGATCTCTTGAGAGGAGAGGCACGCATGGCCGAGATTGCTCAAAGTACTGCCGAGCCGTCTGCATCTTCACCGGGGCCACCGGCTTTCGTCGACATGGCCACGGTCGATGCGGACCTCACCGCCCCCGCAGACATGGACGAGGCGAGAGAGAGGTGGCATCAGTTTTTGACGCGACGCTTCGTTCACGGCCGTGACGATGATTTTGACTACGACAAGGTCGATTTTAACGAGGCCTTCGATGTCCTGGAGCGACGTGATGCCGAAGACGCGTGGTTCGAAGATGAGGAGCCGGGCTGGGCGAGTGACCGCGAAAGCGGCGACCCCGAAGAACAGCAACCCGCCAAGACCGGAGAGACGGGCATTCAGGACTTTTAGTTTGCCGCAAGGTCGCAGCTGCCATGGTCCTCCTGGCTTGCGTGCACCATGGACGTCTCGGCAAAGTTGGTAATATTCAGCCTCAACGCCAGGCGCAACAGCTGCATGAGCCCCCATGTTCTACTGTGCTGGAGGCGACTTGCAGGGGCCCCAAAGCAAGCATTGCATGTCCTGCGTCTGCGCCGGCAACGTCGGGCTGCTTCTCGAGGCATCCTGACGTCCCGTTTGCGGATTCCATGCGGCATCCCGCTCAGTATCAGCAGATCTGCCAAACCCTTGGTGGAGGGCTCCTCCCAAGGCCCGGCCGGTTAAAGTCGGCGGGTGAGTGAGATCCACTGGCTCGTTCATTTCAACCAGACACATTGCAGGCGGCGCAACAAGTTTGCACGGCTCTTCGAACCTCAAGTGCCCTGCGACGAGGGTGACCCAGTTCCCGGGCTGACTAGCAGGCTCCATCCGTATCCCATGGCGGCATTTGGTGGCTCAACATGCCCACAACAGTGGAGGGGGTAAACCGGGAAAATGCGCTGGGTAAATGGGCACTGGGCGTCTCGTCCCGCATGCCACCCTGCCCCCATCGCCAAGCGCAACATCATCCGCACCCACTTGGGGTAATGGGTCCCTGACGAAGCCGAGACGTGATGAAATGGAGGAACAGAACGAGGGGCATCAGAAACCCCGCCATCGACCTTCAACTGAAGCTCTCTCGTTCACACTTCGCAGCTTCATGTCATCTTTCTCTCGGGTTCAACCATAAATTGTGAACCTTGACGAGCTCGAGCTTCTCATAAGTACTTCAGCTACGTCTCCTCTGCCCCCAAACGGCAGCAACATTCACTCCCCCCCCCGTTTGTCCCTTATCTACCATCCACCATGGCGCCTCTCATCACCGGCATCTACACGGCAGATCCGTCAGCCCATGTCTTCGAGGGCAAGGTCTACATCTACCCGTCGCACGACCGAGAAACTGACATTCAGTTCAACGACAATGGCGACCAGTACGATATGGCCGACTACCACGTCTTCAGCACCTCCTCGCTGGACCCCACCGAGGAGCCTGTCGACCATGGCGTCGTCCTGAAGATGGAGGATGTGCCCTGGGTGTCCAAACAGCTCTGGGCCCCCGATGCCGCCTTCAAGGACGGCAAGTACTTCCTGTACTTCCCCGCACGCGACAAGGAGGGCATCTTCCGCATCGGCGTCGCCGTCGGCGACAGGCCCGAGGGCCCCTTCAAGCCCGACGCCGAGCCCATCAAGGGCTCCTACTCGATCGACCCGGCCTCCTTCGTCGACGACGACAACCAGGGCTACCTCTACTTCGGCGGCCTCTGGGGCGGCCAGCTGCAGTGCTACCAGAAGGGCAACGACGCCTTCGACCCGGCGTGGCAGGGCCCCAAGGAGCCCTCGGGCGACGGCGTCGTCGCCATGGGCCCCCGCGTCGCCAAGCTGACCGACGACATGCACCAGTTTGCCGGCGAGGTCCAGGAGATCCAGATCCTTGACCCGGACACGGGCAAGCCCATCCTCGGCGACGACCACGACCGCCGCTTCTTCGAGGCCGCCTGGGTCCACAAGCGCAACGGCACCTACTACTTCTCCTACTCGACCGGCGACTCGCACTACCTCTGCTACGCCACTGGCGACAGCCCCCTCGGCCCCTTCACCTACGGCGGCCGCATCCTCGAGCCCGTCCTCGGCTGGACCACCCACCACTCCATCGTCGAGTTCAAGGGCCAGTGGTGGCTGTTCCACCACGACTGCGAGCTCAGCAAGGGCGTCGACCACCTGCGCTCCGTCAAGGTCAAGGAGATCTTCTACACAAAGGACGGCAAGATCGTCACGGAGAAGCCCCAAGAGTAAGGGCCCGAGACGGGAAAAGTTGTACGAAATGAAAAATAATAATGACCTTTTTTCTGTGCCTGCATGCATCTTGATGGCCTCTGTGTGCATGCCCTCTATTGTACCCTTGACCTGAGCGCACCCATCCATGTGCTCCCTAATCAAAACGCGAACATACACCTCGTCTTGCCGACTAGTATCCTGCGTCGACCACCCCGAGCCGCAACTTCCGCAGCGCCTCCTCATACTTGGCCGGACTGTGATCCATCAACATGCTAGTCCCGAACCGCACCTCTCCAAATCGCGCCTCAACATCTCGGATATACTTAAGAACGACTCTCTTCGCCGGCCGCCCGATGTCCACCTCCTCAGCGAGCACAAAGGCATCCCTCCGCAACACTTTCGAGCTCTCGACCACGAATACCTCCCCTGGCGGCACGAGCTTGGTGCCGACTATGCTCCTCCTCAAGGAGCCCAGCGCCGTCAGTGCCCACTGGTCGTTCTCGGGCAAGCTGGCGGTGGAGGTGGCGTACCACTTGTCGGCCAGTCCGTGCTGGAAAGCTTGCCATACGCGCCGGCGGGCCTCAAGGCGGGAGGCGTCGGTGCTGTCGCTCTGGAAGGCGAGCGCCACCGCTTGAAAGTCATGCAGGACGCCGAGCGAGAGGTACGGTACGAGGTCGTGGCCGTGGACGATACTTGTGATGAGGCCACGTGTAGCCTTGCGCAGGGCGGGAGACATTGTGCCCGGCGGGCCGTAGGCATAGACGTGTATGGGCCGGCCTGAGGGGAGGCAGACGTGCGTCGTACCACTGGAACCCGCTGTGGCCGAGGACTCGTATGTGAGTAGGCGGTGGTGTGGTTCGGCAGAGGTCACGAACCCCGTGCCAGTTGGACTCGGCTCGGCGAGCATGGTGCCTAGGAGGGCTGTCACGGCGCCCCCTAAGGAGTGGCCGCAGAGGATGAGACCGTAGTCGCTAAACTCGTCGAGTGCTTCTTTGAGCGTGTACAAGACTCGGCCGTCGCCACCGTAAAGAAGTCGTCGTGCTGATGCGTGCACGCCTTTGTGAACTTGATATGACTTCCCACGCCACGACATGTCATCGTAGTCGCAAGCGAGATCAGCTAGAACGTCTTCGAAGCCCAAGGTACCTCGGCAGGCCAGCACTACTGCTTTGGTTTCATGATCGAGAGAGATATAATGGACTAGGGGCACCCCGGTACCAGTTGCACCTGTCGTGTCGGACCCGCCGTGAGAATCGACGAAAGAAGCCATGAGAACGTCTTCAGCCTTGGACCCCGTGTGATGAGCAAATGATCGTATTTCATGATGCGTCTCGTCCATGGCTTTGAGGATGGGTAAGTTCCTCGAGATCCTCATGAACTTGAGGAATCCCGACCCATATGCGGCAGATGAGTAAAGCATGAAGCGTGTGATGTTGTGAAGTAAATGTTTTGCTGGGAACATTCCATCTACAACGCCGGCACATCGCAACGTTTCGATGGCCTCCGAATCTGTGTAGGCACTCTTCGGATGCCTCGCTGCCAAGACCAGGGAGGTTTGCGAACCATTCGTTGCTATGCTGTAGAGGCTGGTGCTGGGAGTGTGTCCTCTTTGCCTCATGCGATTGGCTCTAGGTGAGGCGGGGGAGCCAAATTCACTTGCATCATACTCTGGAAACGCCTTGCCCAAGGCGCTCGGTGATCGCCGGGCAAGCATGGGGGAGTCCGGCCTAAGACTGTCCATGGAGTGCATCGAGTAAGTATCAGTTTGAGATACAACCGAATCCCGGCGACGTTCGTGAATCGAAATGAAGCCTGCCCGAGATGAGCTGCGAGGATTTTCAGCATGGTCATCGAAGGGCCCTTTATCGCGGAGATTGGACGAGACAGTCGGTCCTGTTGCTCGATTAAAAGGACGATGGGATAGGTTAGTTGGGCTGACAAGCTTCTTCAAAGTTGACGCCGGCTTTGGTTTCGGTGCTGAGTTTGTTGAAGGGGCCGTCACGGCAGTTGCATCATGTGTATCTCGACTCCAGAGACTTGACATACTAGAACCTGGAGCTCGTTTCAGAGCTTGTCGCACACCCGTCTTCTTCGGGGGCAACTTGCCGTCTTTGATGGGCTCAGTCTTGGACTTGGTCAATCGCGGTTTGGCCGAGAGAAGCTCCTCAGCCTGGGGTGAAGGTTCAGAGCTGCGCTTTGTGCCAACTGGCCCTAAAGGAGCACGCTGGCGTTTCTGATTTGATCCGTTGTCGGAAAGTGTGTTGATTTGGGGCTTCACAATGTCGAGGACGGAGTCAGACACCTTGCGGGAGGTCTGTCTGTGGAAAGAGTCTGACGCAGGAGGGGTCATGGTCTGCTCTGACCTTGGACTTGTAGCGAGTTCCTCGAAAGCTTTTGAGTTGCGCCGCCGCGGCGGAATAGGGGGTGGTTCTTCTAGCGCCTTATGACGCTCTGGTAGCTGTGGAGGTGGATTGTCTGGCCCGTCAAGAAGAACATTAATCTCGGCCACTGATCCAGGCACATTCGGAGACTGGTCGTAGCCTCGACAGGCCGTACTCCGGAGCATCGTCTTGTCGAACTTGTACACCACACGTTGCGTGATTTGATCGGTGACCGCACCGCCGGTGGTACTCGAAAACACGTCTCTTCGACCATCGGCCGCAGGGATGAATTCTCTCTCAACAAGCTCAACACCGGGAGGTGGGGACAGTGCGGGCGATTCGGCGCCAGTGAATTCAACAGTGATAGTCTTCTGCGTATGTGTAGATGTTGTGATGGAAACGCTCGTGTCGGCGGGTAGAGATTGCATGATTTGGTCTCGAAGACGATTTTCGGGGGGGAGATAGTCATCCTCGTCACCACTGTCTTGGCTGGCGTGTCTCTTCAGCGTCGCAATGAGGTCTGGGCCAGGAGAGGGTCCGGGTTTGGAAACAAGGATGCCGGGCCCCTTTGGCTCGTAACGACCCTTGTGCATGCCATAGAGGCTGTCTTCGTGGACGTCGACTCGTTCGCCATCGCTGAGAACGACGATATCCCAAACAATCTCCTCCTGAGGCGCTCGGCGTCTTTCCTCGTCGGGGAGTTTCCAGCACTTCTGCTGAAGATATGCCAATGCACAGATCCCCATGGCGAGATCCGTGACGCCAACCTTCTGACCACTGTGGCCGGTTGCTGGGTTCTGAAACTCACGGCGAACCAGCGTGATGATGCTGGCGATTGCGCGGGACGAGTCTGTGGAGCCGAAGAACTGGTCCAAGGACGACAGAAGCAGCTGCGTTATCTGCGAACCAGCGGAAAAGGTCGTTTCGGCGACATAAAAACCGGCGGTCGTCCAGAACACGATCTGGGACATGGCCATGTGCAGGCTCTCAAGACTCCGTTCGATGACAGTCTCGGCATCTACGCGGGCCAAGGTGGACTGTGACCGTGCGATGGCATTTTGTCCAGCTCGGTGGAGGATTCCTTCGAGGATGCCACGGCCGAGCTCCAGGCTCGACAAGGTCGTGAATTTGGCGGCATCGAACCCATACGAAGTGATGAGAGTTCCCACACGAAGCGCGAGACTGCTGGATCGGGTGGCCAAACTGATTGCTTTGGCGACGGGTTCGGGAAGGACCGTCCTGCCAGGTTGTGTTTCAGAGGAGACTCGAACAAGTTCCGATCCAGTTGACGATGGCTGGACGATTTTCTTTTCAGTCTCAGGGTCATCGCCAGAATCCATCGTGGCGAAAGTCTCTCCGACCGCGAAGGGGCCACGCTCCTATCCTAGGTCCTAGGTAATGCTACTGGCGAAGACAAGTTGAGGGTATGGACTGGAGAAACTGCCTGGTACTACACTGGTAGTTGGCAGAAAAGGTGATAGGCCATGATCCATGCTGCTGCAACTGCCTGGTGCCTCGAATGGAGCCACAACGTCCTCTTGCGTGACGTTGGGGGGTGTGGGTGGGCTTGTTGATGGAAGGCTTGCCACTGGAATGGTTGACTTCGAATCAAGTCGTGATTGCCTTCGACATGTGATTCCGAGACAGGCGATGGACGCTCGAGGCGGCAGGGAAGGGGAGAAGCATGGCAATAGCATGTCATAGGCATTTGCAGTGGGGCAAGTTTTCTGATAAGATACGGGACCTGGCTGGAGATAATGCGCGGATAAGAAGCCATAAATAGCACGAGGAGCCCTGGTTGCTCTGGTGCTCTGGTGCTCTGGTGCTCTGGTGCTCTGTCGCGGGAGAGCCGCAGGGGCCTCGTCAGGGGTCGCCCAGGGCGCTCCCCACCCGGGAGTGTCCTTAGCTCAGGTTCTTGTCCACCAAGAGTCAGTGTGTTGAGGCGCGGGCAGAACGTGCTGGCGGGCTCAGCTCCAAGCTCGCTCGATCCGGCCAACTGGCTGGCTGGGGGAGACGATCGCTCGAGGACGGAAGGGGAGCGCCAGATTTCTGTTTTAGCCCCCTTCCAACCTGCCAACAAACACTACAGCCTTCATTGACAAAACTGCCTCTGCCATTGTCTCGTTTTGCGCCTTGCTATTCTCACTCGTGAGCTCGACGTTCGTTTTTGAGCACCTTGAGTACGCTCCACCGACTCGAATTGCCCCTCAACACCAATCACGACGACCCTCTCCGCCTACGCCAGCCATAACAAGCACCATGTCCGAGGCAGGCCTTTTCTCACACGATCTCCTGTCGCCCACTGTCGCGGCATCGCTCCCTGAGGGCTACATTCTGCGAGCCCTGCGCAAGTCCGATTACGACACGGGCTTCCTCGACTGCTTGCGCGTCCTGACCACCGTCGGCGAGATCAGTGACGACAAATTCGGCGAGCGCTACGACTGGCTGCAATCGCAAGACGGGTACTATATCCTCGTGGTTGAGGACACCAGCAGGGGTGCCGTTGTTGGCACCGGTGCTTTGATCGTAGAGCGTAAATTGTGAGCAGCCAGCTAGCTCTTTTCTTTTCTTTTTTTTTCTGCGTAGTTCTTTGATGCTGACCGCCATCTGCAACAGCATCCACAGCTTGGGCCTCGTCGGCCATATCGAAGATATTGCGGTCGCCAAGGACCAGCAAGGCAAGAAGCTTGGCCTGAGGATCATCCAGGCCCTGGACTTCATCGCCGAGAAGGTCGGCTGCTACAAGAGCATTCTCGACTGCAGCGAGGCCAACGAGGGCTTCTACGTCAAGTGTGGCTTCAGGCGGGCCGGTCTCGAGATGGCCCACTACTACGAGGGAGACAAGAGTAAGGCATCCTAGACGCGGCCTGTTGTTCTTGCCATGCGACCACACGTTTTCATGCCATTCACATGTTGGCTTCTCTTTCTGTCATCTGGCCATCACACATTAGACACTCGTAAACCCTGTTCGGCGTTTCACGACTGATCTCGGGCATCTGCAGGCTCGAAAATATAGAGGAAGGTTTCCTGCGACGGGATGTGGATAGCGACGAAAATGAATAGACGATCAAACTTCGACCAAGTGCAAGTTGTCGGGCCCTGTATGATGTGTTCGACGCGTCCACGATGACAGGGAAAGTTACACGGAAATCGCTGGCCGTCATGGCGAGGCTTTTGTAGTCGTTGTTCGCGTTTGTCCCTGAGGTCAAACTCCGAGGCTGACGTATGGGCCGCCACTATCCCTCATGCCACGTATCCCTCAGCTGTGCGATTTGAGCGGCGCCAAAGCATTCGGCCGACGCCTCGTTGGACCACATACAGCGCCCGGGTTGAACTTTTGAACCACGGAGCGCGCCTGGTCGCGTAACCTCCCCATCGGAGCTCCTCCAACACATGCTTCAGTTGGCTCCGACAATGTAGTCACGTCGCATGATTAGCGCTTTCACATGTCTCTCGTGGTTTTCCACCCCAATGACACGCCTGTTCTGAGCTACTGGATTACCAGCATCAGATGTCACGGCTGATCTCACCTGCCCCGGACACTTCCGGATATCCCCAACCTGACTTGTCCGACGCAGCGTACATCTCCGAACCTATAATGAAAGTCTTTTGTCTCTGCAATGTAAAGACTGCCATGCAGTCGAGCCAAGCTGTTATCTATCTGGGCAAACGCCATTGGCCTACATATAATCAGACACATCCGAATCGTCTCTCACACCATGTTGGAGGACATAGCCAGGTCGCTCACTCGACTGCGCATCGCTTCTCTGAAATCCCAGTACGTCGCAGCTGCATGCAGACTTTTGCATGCATACCAAATGATGTGCATTGCTGATGGAGGTGCAGGGTCATCAGCAACAGCCACCAGCCGCACATCGCACGACGCCGCCGTAGCAACAGAGTGACAGCTGTGCAGTGCAGGTGCAAGACTCCTGTGTTCAAAAAGCACAGAATCGTCCGAGTCGTCTCATAACCCTTAAGCAGGCTTCTCAGTATGCCGTACGGAACCGCCGAAGAGCCCGAGCCTGAGAGCAGGGCGTGGCTCATGGGGAAGGAGGCGTTCGAGACGAAAATGCCACATCATGAAGGCATCAAAGCCCTGTGGGAGACCAAGTGGAGATTTCCGGTAAGGCCACTGAAGCACTATATTCTCCAGAGCCGCTTACCAACGCAATTAGTGCACCAAAAGCGTGTACCCTTTCCATGACGGTCAGTACGAAGACTTTGTGGATGTCTTCGAGCACCTCATCAGGGTAAAGAATGCCATGTATTTGGTGTCTTGTTACGCAGCTGACCCCGCGATAGTACAACATCAACGACGGCACATCGAGAGCGTATACTGAAGCTTTCTTTCCCAACGCTGCCCGTCTCATTGCTAGAGGTGACAAGGCCGCGGCGGCTGGTGACCCTAAGCAAGCAAGCCAGCTCTACCTTCGCGCTTGTGCTCTTTACCGCATCGCTCGTTTTCCCTACATCACAGCCTTCCCAGATATCAGCTGCCCCATCAAGTGGAAGGCGTGGCAGTGGCAGAAGGAGACATATCTCAAAGCTGCCAGCGCGTGGGAGTGCCCAGTAGAAGAGGTTGAGATCCCGCATCGGCATAAGCAGGGACGCGACAGGGCGAGTATACCCGTGTATGTTCGGCTGCCCCAATCGACGGATTCTCAGCGCCAGCCCTGTCCCGTCGTCTTGCTCATGACTGGTCTGGACGGCTACAGGCCCGACAACACGCTGCGTTGCGACGAGTTCTTGTTACGAGGATGGGGTAGTGTCGCCGTCGAGATCCCGGGCACAGCGGACTGTCCTGCTGATTCGGCTGACCCAGACAGCCCTGATCGGTTGTGGAGCAGTGTGCTCGACTGGATGGCAGCGGACGGCCGGTTCGATATGGGCAAAGTGATGGTCTGGGGACTCAGTTCGGGAGGCTACTATGCTGTTCGCATCGCGCACACGCACAAGGAGCGGCTCATCGGCTCGATTGCGCAGGGAGCCGGGTGCCATTACTTTTTTGATGAAGAGTGGTTGGACAAGGCCGATGGGCACGAGTATCCGTTTCAGTGAGTCGCCTTCCATGCGGGCTCGTTATGGATGAGTCCATTACTGACCACTCAACGCAGATTGACGCCGGCTATGGCTATGAAGCACGGTTACGAGACTGTGGCGGAGTACAAGACGGGGGTGCAGAAGAAGTTCTCGCTTCTTGACACAGGAATCCTACAGCAGCCTTCAACCAGGCTCCTTTTGATCAACGTTAGTGACTTGGTGCGATCGTATGAGAACGGACAGCTAACTTTCTCAGGGTACGCAAGATGGCTTGATGCCAATCGAGGATTCCATCATGCTGTTTGAGTACGGAACGCCCAAAGAGGCTAGGTAGGTAGCGCGTCCAGTGGGGAGATGCATGGTGCACAACGCTGATATACGACAGGTTCTTCCCGGGGGCGTTGCACATGGGATACCCGATGGCCAATGGGTCTGTATACCCTTGGATGGAGAAAGTCATGGCTTCCAAAGCTTGAGATGGATGCTGGCAAGGTTATTGTGGGCAAGAGCGGCTGGTGTTTTGGCGGTGTAATGGTATTAGTTGTATCATTAACGCAAATAGATTCACGCAGTGCCTCATACATTTGACATATCCAAAATTACCTTCCCATCCAGCCGCCGTCAACGACGAGTGTATGTCCGCTAACGTAGCCACTCGCACGACTGGCCAGGTACACCGTCGTACCCTGGAAGTCCTCGGGCGATCCCCAACGACCGGCGGGGATGCGCGCGCTGATGCTGGCGAGGCGCTCTTTGTCCGCCAGCAGAGCCTCGTTCATATCAGTCTCGATGTATCCCGGCGCGATAGCGTTGACGGTCACACCCTTGGATGTCCACTCGTTGGCGAAGCTCTTGGTCAACTGAGCGACAGCGCCCTTGGAGGCGGCGTACGCCGGCACTGTGAAACCGCCTTGGAAGGACAGCAGCGAGGCGTAGCTGATGATGCTTCCCCGTCTGCCGGTCACGGCGTCGGGCTCGAGCTCGAGCATGTGGGCACCAATGTCACGCGTCACGGTGAAGACGGCGTTGAGGTTGACCTGCAAGACCTCATTAAAGTCGTTGTCGGGGAACTTGTGCGCTGGGTGGCGGCGCTGGATCCCGGCGCAGTTGACGAGGATGCGGATCTGGTGGCCGTCGGCGAGGACCTTCGGAACGAGAGCAGCGACACTGGCGGGGTCGCTGAGGTCGGCAGTGTAGATTTCAGAGGTGCGGCCGAGGGCACGAATGGCGTCGCGGGTGGTGGTTACGGCCGTGTCGCGCTGGACGAGCAGGACGTTGGCTCCAGCCTCGGCAAGACCAATGGCGACGGATTGGCCAATACCGCGGGTGCCGCCAGTGAGAAGAGCGGTTTGTCCCTCGAGGGAAAACATTTTGGCGGCCATGATGATGATTGACTTCTGTAGCGAGACAGGCTTAGACGAGCTATGGAAGCAGAGCAAGAGGCAGGGGGACGAGAAATAATCCAAGTGTTTGGCAAATACCCCAGAATGACTTAAAAAAAAAAGATATCGGCAGTCTCAATACAAATGTAGCAGCTCGCAGTACAAAGATATCGAGAGCCAAGTCAGGGCATGGTCGAAGATCATGATCAAAGTCATACCTCGTGGCAAGCTCGCGTTGGGGGGCAGAAGGGCAGGAGCAATGGCGATGGCGGGGCATGGAGGGGTCGGTGGGGGTCAGTGGAGGCCCTAGCGACTGGGCCCTGTGGAGTGTGGGGAGGGGCAGGAGCAAGGGGTGACCAGTGACGTTGCAGGTACGACCGCCCCTCGAGCGCGTCTCGCCCGTCTTTGCACCATTTGCCTGGCCGCCTGGCAACCCACAGGCCTGGGGCTTGTCACTCCTTCGTCTGAATCTATCCTTTTTCCAAACATGGTCGCCGGCTACGGAGCCTCCCAAGACGGATAACTGGGCAGAATCCGCCGACAATGTCTCCGCACGGTTACCGGTCCCCGGATTTGCAATGTTTACCGGCCCAACTGGGGGGGCATCGTCATCTGCTGGGCATTCAAGTCAGCCTTCGAAGCTCCAGGAGGGGTCAAAATGACCGATGGACCGGTGCCCCTCTCCCCATCCACTCGGTCACTTCTTCGCCGGCCGATTTGTCCCAAGTCGATTTTCTGCCTACTTGAATGACCTGGTCCATCAACGCGGCTTTCTCTCCGTTTTCCCAACTTTTGGAAAGCTTGATCGACATCGTGAGATATCCAGAATTCGAGCAACAAAGACCTCCACAACGACACACCTGGCAACACAATCTCGCAGCCAGCAATCGACACCCACCTGATACAAATCCTTGAACAGCACACCCAAACATTACATCATATTGATATCCAACCATGGCCGATTCCAAAGTACAAGCATCTGTGCTTCATGGTGCCAAGGATCTCAGAGTTGTGAGCTCCACGCCCTGCCTCAACAAGCAGTAAGACTCCTTCTCTGACTCCCTACAGGAAGACCGCGATCTCCCTGCTCCCTCTGCCGATGAAGTCCAAATTGCCGTCGAGGCCACAGGGCTCTGTGGCTCCGACCTTCACTACTATTCTCACTACCGGAACGGCGACATCATCGTTTGCGAGCCCTTGACCCTCGGTCACGAGTCCGCCGGCACTGTCACTGCTGTTGGCTCGGCTGTCACGAGCCTGGCTGCTGGTGATCGCGTAGCCCTCGAAGTCGGCCTGCCTTGCGGGTCATGCGATCTCTGCGCTCAGGGCCGTTACAATATCTGCCCAGGCATGAAGTTCCGCAGCTCTGCAAAGGCCAACCCTCACGCGCAAGGCACGCTGCAGGAGAGGGTGAACCACCCCGCGAAATGGGTTC